AAAATAATATAATTGCTATTAGAACTATTATTATTATAATGTGCATAGTCTTAAGAAAATCCAAAAGCCAATAGTTTTGCAAAGCCAGATGTTACTGTATTTCAGTCTCCTCTTCCCATGCTAGCCACTAATTCAGAATCAGCTTCTAATGACATTTACTAACAGGAAAAAATATCTGTCTTAAGCTTCATCCGCCACCTTGCTCCGACAAGGCTCTGTGATCAATTTGATATTATTAGAAGCAAATGAAATACCAGCTGTGTCTCACTGATGAGTACATGTTGTGCCCAAGTCTCCACTATCATGTAGGTACAGTTCTAATCAATCGTTTAAAGACTATGGGCTTTATTTGTAGTTGGAGATAGTGAATGCATATAGCCCAGAATCCTAATGACAAAAAAAAATCAATAGCAAAATACCTTCTATATCTGTGTATTTTGGCTACAAATATAGCTTTAAATTCTTCTAGCACAGTAAAATAAAATGTGTCTTTAAGACTTAAAAGTCTTTTTAAGCAGTCAGCAGGATGCATTTCTTTTTAAGCAGCCAAACCAATTTATTTGTTTTAATGAATTCTGAAATACGTGTATTTTAAATCAATTAGAAGCATAGTATCATTGCTCTCAGTTCTGTTCTCCTCATCAAATACCTGATAATTATTCAATACTAATCTATATTCTTTCTGCAGCATAGTATATAATCATAGTGATTCAGAGTACCTTTCATCTGCATGCCTCATGTTTCTGTGGTTATCCACTATTTTTAACTTTCCCTTTTTCAAATCTACTGCACCCACTTCACATGTTGAAAAGTTCTCTAATTCTTTATATTTTAATTTAACTTCAGCTTTATGTACGATTTCTTAAACAATAGTGGCCAGGCTTTCATTATACAAGTTATTTAAACTTCAGTGGCAATCTCTACTGTTACTACTTCTCTCTATAGTACCTCTAGGAAGGTAAAACCTGAAAAAACGTCTATATATGTAAACATTACATAACTTTAGTTATTGGGCTATATATCATAGGAACTTCTATCTGTCCAAAAACTCTATCAGAAACAGTAAATCCTGCAGAGAAACTGCAGCATTAGCAGATCATAAGATTCTTATTTTCCTGTGAATATTTTATTTCGGTGTGAATTTCTTTTAAAACCCAAAACTTTCAAAATACAAATGAAATACAATCCGAGAGCGTATTGCATCCCATTGTGTGGTGTGCAAGCATATAACTCATGATGGACATTTCTCACAGCACATTTTTGAAATACGTCTAAGCGCTCAAGCTCCTTGTTATGGCAGCCACCTGGATTAACACAGCAAGTAGTAAATTGATACTTGGAACCCATAACAGGAAAAGACAGAGAGAAAACCACAATGTCTGAATCCCCTTTAGTAACTGTACGTCAGGTCTAAGCTTAAACAAAGGCAGTTTCTGTTTCCCAGCCTCAGCAGCACAGGATTTGGCAGTTGCATGTTCATGGAGGGCTTGACAGTAGCTTTAATCTGTGTCATCCATCTCTCATGTCTCAACACTACTCACGCTACTACAAGTTTTTTCCCTATCATTCTTGACAGTGAGAAGAAAAAATGTATACAAGAATTGGACCTAGAGTGCTATAATTTGCATCTTTATGAACATTAAGAAAGGTAATCTATTTCTCCAGGTTTTGTTATTTATTTAGGCCATAAGCCTATTCAACTTAAGTCAAGGAAGGAGCTCACACATTCCGCTTTAACACGAAGTCCTTCTGGCCTGTGGCTCAACCCTAACTTTTCTCCTTGCGTGCTAAGTTACTTGTGATGCAGATTTATCACTATGTGCTTCTTAACTTAGATTCTGAATTTTTTTTCAGTCCTTTTTACACTCTCAGGATGTTAAAACAAGCTGTAGGTATAATAAAACACCGAAGCTGGCACAAACTCCAGCTACTGTCATCCTGCATTTCTACAGAAAAAAAAATTTTAGGAAGTACTCCTGATGGACCATCAGCATAATGTGATCACTGAACCATTGCCAGTAGTTTGAGTCAAAACACTTTATCCAGGTAACACAGCAAAAGAAAATGCACATTACAGGCTTCATCCAGTGTTAGACAGTATGCCCACTGTTACACTTTTCCACAAATGAGAATTGAGTAGGAAAAATAACAGCAGTTATTTATTGCACATTCAGCTGTGCTGTCTTCAAGTACCAATTTTTCCTAATGCAGACAGCAACTGATTTCTGATTCGGTTCTGCAGTTCTTCATAGACCATTTCCATGCCAAATGCTTAAAAGTGCTTTCTCCTGCTTAAGTCTTTCCTATACCTATTAGACCCCACTAAAGTGTAAATGCTGTAATACATATTAAGCAACATTTACCAACAGCAAACAGAAAGATTCAGACAAATAATTAGAAGATATTCATACTCTACGTGTCTTGCCAGTAACAACATTTAAATAATTCACATCTAGAAAATAAGTTTTGTAGCAGTAAGCCTATTTCAAGGATAAGGTAACCATGTGATGTTTCCCAATATCTACTGCTTGATTTTGCACTCCGCAGCCAGTATGAATTTGCAACTTCAATCATGAAGAGGGGTTTCTGGGAGTTACTAGAATTTAAACAGTAATTAATAGCAACATTTACTTCAATAAATTCAATTTTTTTTCCCTTATTTTTCAAACTGTCTTTTCACATTTTAAGATATACTTTAATAATTTGAAAATATTTTAGTCTTCATTATTTTTATTAATTAAGAATATTCCTGCAGCCCTCATTCAATCTAAGCTTCCATTAAAATGCCAGCGTTTTTTTCTCTTAAAGAACTTCTTTTGTGCCACAAAACAGCAATTATTGACTGTCATGTTAAACAAGTGTCATAGTTCCTCATGAATACGTAGTAAGCATCAGAAAATATTAAATTGCTAAAGAGCACACTGCTTTATGAAAAATCTTCTGTATACTATAATTGCTCATTTAACAGAACAATGGTATGAAATGATTTTTTGTTTTCCTCTTACATATCAGAAGCCTGTCATCCTCAAAGTCATTCTGGCTCCCACATTATAAATACACTTCAGTTTTTCTATAGGCAATGCCAAAAAAATCAGCAAGTGCTCACTGTCTTTTGCCAACAAAAGCATGACTCTCTGCAAAAGAATTTTCCTGCCATTTATAAACTAAATACATTTGGAAAGTTCATGCTTGTGATTGGCTATGGCAACTGATATACTCCATCATAAGACAAAGCAGATAGCAAAACAGTCATTTATTACAAGCAGTAAATAATGTTCAATAACTCCATTTAAACATATAACATCTATGCTGAAAAAAAAGTTACTCCAGATTACACTTAAAATAACCTATTGCACTAAATATTACATAATCTATGCACTGGGTATTCAGAAATCAATTCAAATTATATGAAACACCATCCTGTAACATCATCAAACAAGTAGTGGTAGACTAGAAGAATTGCAAAGCCACAAACCTCTAACACTAAAAGATGATGTTGGCTATTTTACCGAAAGCCAACATTCATGTGAAAATTCTCATTGACATGGAACAGTCTCAGTCATTTCTGACACTTCTTCACCACCTACTCACTCTTCAATTCTGTGACTGTTCAGCATCATAATGCATGATGGTCAATCTATTTTGTACACCCAACTGCAAAGCCTCCTAACAAACTGCTCTGGCATTGTGCCTCACCAGGTGGCACTAGGCATTGATCACTTCACCTTTTTCCCACCGCCCTCACTCTGGTGATCTGGTAAGAGGAGCAGCACAGGAAGGAGGACCCTAGCTAGGTCAGCCGCTAGATTCCTCTCCAGCTATGCAACAGCCACACTTTTTCCTAAATACAAGAACTAGAGCTAATTTAAACAATTTTTAGGCTCTGTCTAAAGGCTGAATATTGTAGCTGCAACTTTTATTTATGTTCCCATAATAGATTTAGCTGAGAGAAGTCAACATATTTACACTGTTTTAGCTCCCAAATCTCAATAACATGCAAGAAATAGGAACACTTCAAAACATATTAAAAATTCAGTCACTGATTCTTATTTGCCCAGGAAGCAGGAAATTCACTGGGAGTTAATATACATTCTACTCTATCTACTTGATTTTGTGATGCCTTTTTGATATCTGCACAATTTTCATCTCTTATTAAAGCATAACAATGCAGTGGGTAATAAACTAAAATAACATAAGTCAAGAGTATGTTCATTTTATTCCACTTCTATGAATCTAGAAACTGCTAACATTTCCTATGGCTCACATACAAAAAAGGAACAAAGAAAATTTTCTGCAGCTAAAAAATGAAGTTTTATTTAGTGTTTTTTTTTTGTTGTTGGTTGGGTTGGAATTTTGGGGTGGATTTTTTTTTAGTTTTCCCAATCCTTTCTCAATTTTGTATTAAATTCATCAGAAGATCATCTTACTAAAACTAAAGCAAAATCTTAGTGAAGAAATCATGACTTGTCTTATGGAAATGTGACATGGCAAATAACACTTCTTTGAATAACAACATTCAAGACACACACAGTGATTAAATAAATAAATAAATAGTGCAGATTAGGGTAGTTGTATTATACAGAATAAACTTCTAGTTTATAATACGTCTGTGCTGACTCCTAAGATCATGCTTAGTCTACAAAAATCCAAACCAAATAAACAGAACTCCAACTTCTGAACAGAATAATAAACTGACAGAAAGTATACCCCATACTGTCAGTATAAATACAAAGAAATAAGTCTATAATTTTTTTTCTTCCTGTTTACTTTACAACTGCAAGAAAAACTGAGGCTGCCGTTTTCTAAACTCACTGAGCAAATCATTCACATAACTCCTATTAAATTCAGGGGAAGTTATTTAGCTAAATCTGGTGGTCATCTCAACTTACATTATAAAATTTGGCATTACAGCTAATTTCAGCTCTCTCAGATAAAGAAAATAACTAATCCACAAGTCAGGTAATAACCCCTATGAAAAGTATTAAAAAGTTTTGCCTTACCTCATTAAACCTTGTCACAAGATCTTCTATAGCATTATGTTCACCATTGGGGGAAGAAAGAATAGTAGCAGATATGGATGCTTTAATAGATGGCAGCTTGCTTTGACATTCAGCACTCCCCAAATCCCTGGTTAAAAAGCAGAGGTAGTCAATGGGTAAGACTTTCCGGTAGAGTTCCTGCTCCTGCTCAGTCAGAATGCTGGCAACCTCCTCTGGGAACTGGATGAGATGCTGCAGTTCGATCAGCTCTTTGCTGATACCAGCCACGTTGGAGGGAAGGACACTGGAGCCAGCCATAGATGTACACGCTTGACGTTCTAAAACAAAACAAAAAACTTATTATTATGTTTTGCCTTTAACTCTTGGACTTGTCTATGCAAGAGAAGGACAACTTGTCCTTTTTGTTCTGTTAAACTGTTCATTTGTGTATTCATCAGTACACTCCTTCCTAACTACTTTACATTTAAACAACCTAAAACTTCTGTTAGTTGGGGTCTTTCTGCATATCTCTGTATCTGGTATCAGGTAGACAGCTGGTAAGGGTTTCCTGAGATGGGTAAGCTACCCGCCAAAATGTGTTTGCTTCCTGATTTATCCAAACACTTGCTTCAATCACCTACAGTCTTGTCAAAACTTCTAATGAAAGGATCATCTGGGCAGGCTGCTTTGCCTTCATAGTAGAGTCAGTGGTACAAAAAGTTTTGAGGCCTTGGCTGGGGCATTAGAACACCACCACCACAAGAAATAACATATAACGCTCACCTAAAACCAACTGGGTCGGCATTTTTCTTCATATTCCTCTTGCTGTAAGACAGAATTTCTCTGAGCTCACCTCATTGTGAAACTAAACATCCAAAGTTACAAAATGTTTTTCATTCCTCTGGGAAAATACATATATTTGGGAGTATGCATGTTTTATCCGTTATTACAAAACATTCATGGTAGTTTTAGAATATCCTAGCAATGATGTCCCTTGAAAAATAAAACTTTTCCTAAGAAGGAAGAAGCAAAGCTTTGTAAGACCGTGTGGGAAGCCTGAAACATCAACACAATGATTCCAAGACTGTGAGTATGAGTCTTCTGACTACATAAGTTTAGAATGGGTTCTCTGAACAATAATTTTTCAAGAATTACTTAAATGTATAAACAGTCATAGTATACATAAAAGGCTTCTGAAAGAGCCCAAAGAGTAATTGTTTCTGTGCCTAGACTGGAGAAGAAAAAAGTCATGGACTTAATTTGCAACAAGCAATATCCTGGTTACTAGGGAGGAACAGGTATAACTTCAAGGGTAGTGAAGTAATGCTGTACAATATTTGCAGATATCAAGAAATCTCTGTCACTGAAACTCCTGCAAGAAAGATCAGGTGGAATAAGACAGTTAAGAACACCATGTCGACAAGTCAATATTGTTTTGAGCAGCAGGTAAAGTGCAGGGAGTTTCTGGGCCTCCTTTCAGTCTTGTTTGCTTTGATACTACATGAGATTCCAATTCTGTTTTCTACTTCAAACTACGCGGAACACTTCTGGAAGATTTCATAAGAAAAAGCTCTTGAAGCTCATTTGCACTGTTCTTGACTTTGCAACAGAATATAAGCTAGTGCCAAAAGAAAACCAGTGCAAAATGTAATGTTCATTTTATATTTGCAAAACCACAGTTTCTTCAGAAAGAAGAGGATATGGAAGACATGACGCAAACATCCACTACCACCCCTTTGTTCCCCAGAAGTTGCAGTGCCTCGCTGACCCCCAGTGCATGGCAGCTGTTCTCACGCAAGGACTTTTCTGGGAAACATGAGTTGCCCTACCAGCCAGGAGAAAGCAGAAAAAGTACAGCCTCTCCTTGTGCCTCACTGCTGAAACTGAGGGTGCACAGACTGTGTCTACATTGTTAACTTATTTTAAATCACAAAGGCACTTCTGAAGTGAATCTCTCCAACAGCCTCACTTACTGTTCCAGTCTTGGAGCACACAAAGGGGATCCATTTCAGGTGAAACTGCACCAGATGATGCACTCCAAGGAGGCAACTAACACACTGCAATTGCTAACAAGATGCAGCTGTCAGCAGCACCCAAGGCTCTGGAGAGGACACCGAGGTCAGGAAAGGCCAGTTGGACCAGACAGCTCACACCATGGCTTGACTGCAGATAATCACATAACGAAGGACACAACAGAGCAAGTTGCATGGACAATGCAATGCAACAGAAATACCAGAGCTTTACAAATTCAAAATTATTTAGTAACTACAGTTATAGACACTTCGTACGTATCAATATAGTAGGAAAGGAAAGCAGTGCCTGTTCCAGTAGTGATTGATGGAAGATGGACAACATCAGTGAAGATGAGCTGCTCACTGATGCACTGCTTGCCGACAAGATTTAGGGGGCCATTCTCACTCATTCACCTTCTCCATTACAAAGTCAACTACAAAAACTGAACACATTCACACATTCAACAGATCTACATTCCACATTGACTCAGAAATCCATCTGTGCTCAAAAACCTCAAAAACTGACGAAGGTTGACACTGAATTGGCAACATAATAGTGTGGTGTTCAGGATCCTGCCTTGCCTAAGTACAATCAGCCTTCAGGCTCCACTTATTACAGCTTCTCACATCTAGGAACAAGGCTCAACACACTGAAATGACTAGAGGTAATAAGGTGGCTCCACAGTGGATCTCCAGACTGCCAAAAACTACTAGGAATATCTCCTTTGAATTTTATGTCACTAGACTGATTGCCCATTGATCAAGTCCAGCAAAAAGCTAATGCAGGGATTTTGAAAGCCTTTAATGAACATGTCATCTTCTGTAATGAAGACTTCAGAAGCCAGCTTCCTTCTAATAGAAAAACGAAGCTGTCAGAAAGAAAAAATTTTTGTGGACGCTAAGCCAAGATGACTCAAGTCAAGAGATCTAAACAAGATCAACCACTAGTATCACCGGATTTGGGAGAAAACAGAAAATAAACTTCTTCTTGATTCAAAAACTGAATCTCAAACTAGTGTTTCTCAATTCTCCATTGAACTGGAAGAACCAAACAAGTGCTGAATCTTTAATGTAAGAATCCATGAAACAAGCTGCTTCAGCAAGAGTACAGCTGATATCCAAGGAAAGGCACACAGGCACACACATTCAAACAGAATTTATAAAGTTCCACAGCTCATGGCTAAAGTATGGATATAAATATTGAAGAAGTGGAAATATAACATATTTCACTTGACTATTTGTACACCTGTAAATACTTCTTTCATCCATAATACACATTGTTACAAGTTTTGATTAACATATTTCATTATATTAACATATTCTCATTTTTTATCTTCATTCCAGTCTTCTGTGTTTTATCAGAGAAAATCCAGGATCCTTATTCTCAGTGTCACCATCCTCCATGATTTACACTCTGCACAAGAGTCTATTTTTTTGTTTCATATTAGTTTTTTTACTTCCCTGTACTAAACAAGTCTTTTTTCTGGACTTCTTTTTGCCTCTCTTTGGTATCTAAGACTGATAATTTTTCACGCCAGGAACTGATCTGCACTTCTATCTTGCTGGTATGAAAATCCCTAACCAGTCTCACCACAAGGCCTTTAGCTTTTTGTTGTCAGCTTGTGTTCTGATCATATCTTTCTATGCTTCAAATAAAGTTCTTAGGTTAACTTGCAGAATGGAAATGCTTTCAGGCCAAAATCACAGTTGATCTTTTAAGAGTTAATCCTTGCTAAAATCAGCTGCTGCTGCAGTAAATGGTATTATTCTTTGCACCACATCAAGTTAATGCTAAAACTAGTAAAAGAAAATGAGGACCCTGATTATTCATTTGCAAGTTGGTTATAGCTGGAATTGATAACTTTGCTTATCCTTCTGATAAACAGCTGAAGCACATAATCTTTTTAATAGCAAGCACTGCTTTTATTAATCAAACCAAGATAACCACTGCCTAGCTTTAAAAAGGACTCATGGGTTGACTTAGCCACTGTTGATACACATGGGAACAAAAAGATCTCCTCTTCCCTAACAAAAGAATCATCTATTTATGAATGGGAGAAAAATACAGAATGCTTGCTTCAGGACATTATTGAGCCTAGACTCATAATAAATTCTAAAAACATTCTCAATTTTTTTTTTTTTTTTTTTAAATTTCTACAAGGTTTAGTAAGGAGCTCTGCCACCAGCAGAGTAACTTCAAATTAACTCAGCCTTTTTTACTATAGAACTTAGAATTTCCATGTATCTTGTATATGTATAGGCTCTACAAACACTATACTGAAAAAATACATTTCAAGTATGCAAGTAAAAATTGTGTACATGTTTGTGTGTCTTTGCAAAAAAGTTTCAAGACATTCTTAAACTGTTTTTTTCTGTTGTTTTTCTCTATTGAACCACATTATGGGTGTGTTCATTATATTAGCAAGAGGTTGATTCAGTATTTTTAATATTAAAAACAGGGAGTTCACATTAAAGAAAAATAGAAACTTTTATAAATACAACCATGAAAAATACTGCTAGAAGGCTAGTTTTAATTATCTGTACTCATTCATAGAATTTTTCTGCACTTGTATGTTCTACTAAACACAGTAGGTGTGACATGTGAGGCGTCCTAACAATAAAAGCATAACTATCTGTACATTTACTGTATTTCTTGCAAAACTAAAATTAAAAGGTGTGTATTTATTAGATTTTATGTCATCATGCACACAGATCATTAATACACAATATGATATAAATGTTGGGCTGCTGCCATCAATTTTCTCTATGCAGAAATTCACAACTGAGTTTGAGCAAAGGAAGTGGAATTCATACAAAGATGGAAAGAAAATAAATACAGCCTTGTCTGAAATCACACCTATGTAAAAAGTGTTAATCCTGTGTAAAATTGCAGTTGCCAACCCTGCAATTTGTACTTCGATAAAACCGTATCACTTTCCATGTGAATTGTGACCAAGTAAGGACAGAGGTATAGAACTACTTTCATCCCAACTCAAACACAACTTACATTTGAAACTTGAGGAATGTGCTATACATATGGGAATACAACCAGGAAAAAGCCATCTTATTTTTAAAACAAGTACAATTTCAAAAGGAGTAAACCTGACAAACAGATGAAAATTTACTTTCAACGAAGCTTGATGAATTGACAAATAAGCTAACTAGATTTGTGTCTTAGGGTTTTTTTCTAGTTTGCTTTTCTTTCTACACTTTGAAGAAAAAAAAAAAGCATTTTCTCTATACATTCAAAACCATCAGTTTTAAAGCTGTGAAGTGAAAATTGTCATCAATGAAGTGCTCAATTTCTAGAATGCTAATGAGGGAAC